GGAAGGTGCTGCTGAAGCCGTGCACACACACTGGCCCAGCCGTGTGTTCTCAGGCCAGTGCTCTCCCGCTGTGTCCCCTGAAGTTCCTCACCGGTAGTTGTTCACTGAGGCTGCACAGCAGGGCTGAGAGTGCTCCTCCCGTCACCCCTGCTGCACGGTGGGGAGGCTGAGGCTCACAGTCAGGAAGACGGGCATCGGGACTTGAACTCGGGCCCTCCGACTCCCACTCTCCCAACTACAACCTTCGCCTCTGCTTCGCAGGAGCCCTGGGGTCTGTGCGCCCGGGGACGTCTTCTGGAACCAACACTGTTGTTTCCGGACGGGTCTGCCGTGGTGGCTGCTTCCTCTCTCCACCTCTCCGAGGCTTATTTTATTAAATAAGCAGTAGCCTCACTTGTGTAATTAGGAAAAGACCACATTGATGTCGTTTGACCCTTTCCTCACCAAAGCCAGATGCCCCGTAACGCAGATCAGCGGGCCTGACTCATCAAAGTTGGGGTCATGAGGCACACTGGTCCTCGATCCGGTGAAATCAGTGAAATCGGTGGCCCGTGGGTTTACTGGGGGGCCGGCTGTTGTGCCAACACGACTCTGCGCGGCGGACGGCAGGTGGCGCTGCCGCCCCGTGGAGAACCCGTCAGGGGCCTGCTTCCTGCGGTGGGCGGTTCTGGAGGGAGGGTCCCCTGGCCTCTCCCCAGGGAAGGCGTCGCGGCGAGGACCCCTGGAAAGTTAACTGGAACCCACTGGCCTGTCTGCTGCCGCCTCGCCAGGCCTCCGACCGTTTGGACAGAGATGGCCCGGCAGTGCCTGCTGCACGCGAGCTGTGACCAGCCAGGGTGCCGCGGGGCCCAGCAGCGTGTGCTGATGTGTGGCTCTCCTCGGGGTTTTTCCCAACATGGACGCTTTCTTTCCCAAAAGTGTCCCCTTTTCAAAGGACATCTGAGGACCAGGGACACTTCCCTGTGGCCAGAAGGCCTGGACACGGGGGGACACATGGTCCCTGCACCCGCCACAGTGTGGTCGTTTTAATAAGATGCTCGGACAGGCTCGTCACCACTGTGCCTCCCCAGACCGCTGCCCCGAAGCCACGGGGGGTGGTCTACACCTGCCCTGCACAACCACGCAGGACGCCTGTGCTCTGAGAGCTGGCGCTGGCCCTCGCCGGCTGTGCGCGCACTGGGGGCTCTCCACCCCTGCTCGGGGCCCAGGGGGCCTGGCCTTGGTGGCACCGCCCCGCGACGTCAGCGCAGCCCCCGGCGCCCTGGCGCTGCAGACACGGCCCTGGTCTGTCAACCACGATGACCGCGGCATGTAGCCCCGGGCGAGGGCAGACACACAGGTGCTCAGTGTCGGTGGCTCTTCCTCTGTCACGCTTGCAGACATCCCCTGCCCATCCCCGGAGCACATGCGTCAACGTTGGGAAAGGCCTGTGGTTTGTTTCAGCCCCTCAAATCCATTCACGTCCCTTCATGAGCGGGTAAGGCTGGGTAAGCCCTGGCAAAGACCCCCCTGCTTGTAACAGCCCCGAGATCTGACATGTTGATGCCCAGAAGATTCTGGAAGCAGAGTGGAGAAGCGCAAGGGGCTCGAGGAAGTGAAGGGGGCTTCCGTGGGGGGTGTGGGGTGGAAACCCATGAAATTTAATTCTCCTACACCAGAAGGGAGCTGTGTGTCAGGGGTGTGAGCTGGGGCTGCTGGGCCATCTCCTCACCCCATCCTCATGACCACACCCCGGCCCCAGGCGCAGGGTGTTCAGAGCCCCAGCAGAGGCTGGTGACGGACCACACTTCACCTTGGCTGTTTTCACTAGGCCTGGTGGCGGAGGAAGGAGGGCGGCCAGGAGCCCTGGAGCACAGCACCTCAGGGACGCGGGTTCTGGGTCCGAGTGCCGAGCCCAGCCCTTGTCAGCAGCGTCTGGAGCAATCCCCGTGACCTGTTTCTGCTCCAGAAGGGCAGGAGTCGTCCTCGGGCCTCCCTGGGGGAAGCCCAAGAAGGACGGAGGTGACGTGTGTGTGTGTGTGTGTGTGTGTGTGTGTGTGTGTGTGTGTGTGTGAAGAGGCCTTGTTTGCCTGAGCCCCACTGCCGACCATCACCCGCGCTGGGGCTCAGAGCCGCCGCCGCCGGGCAGGAGGGGGCAGCAGAGGCCGCTCCGAGCCGACCTCACCGAGGCTTTTCTCGGAACCCAGAGAAGGCTGGAGACTAAGACTCGCACTCACCAGGCCCCCCTGGAAATCTGTGAAGACTGGATTCCTGGGTCCTGCCTCCAGGGGGTCAGATGGAGTGGCTGTCAGCACCCCACCCCCTGCGGTTTCAGCAGACGCCCGTGTTCCTGACGAGGGCAGTTCCACACCGAGAGTCACTGTCAGAATGAAGCCGTGGGGCTCAGGGGTCTTCCGGCCTGGAGGTCAGGTCCTCCCGGGGAGGCCAGCCGTCCCAGCGCACGTGCCAGAACATGGGGAGCGGCTCCCAAACGGAGCACAGGGGGACCCCCGCCCCCCATCTCTGGGAAGCAGGGTGAGACACGCGTGGGTGGTCAGGTCCCTCCCGTGCGGGTAGCACAGAGTACGTCATCCTGTCGTCCCCGAAGGCCACCAGCTCACCAACTGCTGCCCCCCAGGGTCACGAGGAGGGCTGAGGACGCGAGGCTGGGAGGCGGCGGCTCCCCGGGTGAGGTGGCGGCAGAGCAGGGACCCTGCTTTCTCCCTCACTCCCTCTGGGACGCCTGCTGGCTGGTGGGCGCCCGGAAGGCGGAGCAGCCAGGCCCTGGCCTACCTCTCCCCCCTTGTCCCCGCGTGTCCAGCCCCAAAGGGAAAAGAAAACTGGGAGAGGTGGGCTTTGGTGGGCCAGGCCCCTCCCCCATCAGAAGCACACACCTGAGTACCTTCAGGCCAGACGTGGGGCCACTCCCCCTGCAGAACCCTGGAGTGCCTGCGATTGTAATCCACAAACGGAAACCCTATGGGTTGATCCTTGCCACGCCCCCCCCGCCTCCAGATGCCTTATTACTGGGGGGTTCATATGCTTAGAGTCCAGGACAGCCTCCCCGAGGTGTGCTCAGAGGCTTTTGAATCCGTTCTACCTAGGAGGCCGTGTACTTACGAAGTGGGGGTGGCACCAGACTCAGAAACGCCTTTGCATTTCAAGCTCCTAATGTGCATATGCCGGCACGCTTTTGTGGGGGTGCACGGCTTTGTGGGGGCGCACAGCCGGAGCTCCGTGGCCCCTGTGCACCTCAGGGCTGAGATGGGCCCTGGGGAAGACACAAGCCAAGCAAGCCCGATCTGTGAGCTGCCGGTAGCCGCAGGGTGGCGTGTAATCTGGAACATGGCTCTGGAGACGGTTTTGCTTCAGTCTTTGGGCCCTTTCTGGGCCAAGCTTTCCTTGCCCGGGAAGGCTTTTCTCTCACCCCCAGGCCCCTGGTCAGACCGGGAGTCAGAGGCCAGGCCCCATCCTGGGGCTCCCTGGCTGGCTTTCCCGCACAGTCCCCTCTGCGAGCCTCCCACACAGCCGGGCGCTGGGGCACGGGAGCGCCAGGAGAGCCCGAAGAGACGCAGGTGCCATGGGGAGGTGAGCGGGGAGGCGAGCAGGAAGGAGCGCACCTCCGCCCCAGCCCCTGGCCCAGCACGGACGGACGCGGTCTCCAGCCCCAAGGGGCCACGCGAGCGGGCGCGGAGGCTGCAGGAGCCTGGGGGTGCGCCGGCCGGGCTGGCATTGGGTTTCCCCTAATCAACCCCACTTCCAAGAGCCTCGGTCCTAATTGGGGCGCAGTGTCCGCGGTGGTGCAGGAGGGAGGATGAGACCCGCTCTCGCCTGCGGAAGTTGCCTAGATGCGGAGCGCGCGTTCCTGCGCGGGAGGCCCCGGGGACTTTCTCTGGCTCGGCCTCATTTTCCTGGGCACCGGCTGGTGCCCCGGGGGCCTCCAGCCCAGGGGGCCGTGCCTTCTCCCCTCCCGCAGTGCAGGGCCAGGCTCCTGCGGGCCACGGAGACCCCGGACCCCCAGCGCTTCGGCCCCCCAGAGACCCCAGGGATGAAGTCGCTGGCCTTTTCCTGTAGCCTTTATCTCGTTTTTATAGACAGCGGTTAGTTTGGGACATTAATTGCCTGGGCGAGTTTGATAATTTTGATGTAACAGAGCACTGGAGAAATTACCCTCACGTCCAAAATGTCAAATTTGAGAAGAACCAGGTTCAGAGGCTCGCGACCCCACGACGGGCAGCAACTGCGGTGGGTCCCTGCATGGCCGCCGACAATGGGACTTTATTGTGTTTGTTTTCTTAGGCAGGGACTGCAGTGGGAAGACGGTGGTCAGCTGGAGACACAGGGTTTTAAATAGTGCCCCCCCCCCGCAGTGGCATTTGGGGGGCAATGTTCCTAAATGGAAATGTTTCTGTCACCTTGCTCTCCCTGCAATGACCCCTTTCTTGCTTAAATTTTACTCACTTCTCAGTTGGGGAAAACCAAGCGTAGATACCAAAAAACAAAACAAAACCAAAGCCCTACGAAAAACCTTAAAGTTGTTTCATAATTTATAACAGCCTGACTATGGGAACATTAAAGTCTGACACTCGAAGTTAAACTCTCATTGGTGGCAAAAAAAAAAAAAAAAGGTTAAAAAACAAAACCCGGCATTTCATAGATCTTCTTTTACAGATACGGTTTTCCCTGGGGGAAGAAAGGGTACACTTTTTCTTTCAACATTTGATTATTTCTTTAAAACGAGAAATGACATTTAGAGCAGCGGAGGGGCTCTTCTTAAAAAACAGAAGCCAAGAAAAATAGTTCCTCGTGTCCAGATTTCATTTCAATGTAAAGTGAAGGATGGAAAGAGGAGGAATAGAAAAAGAGAGACAGAGAAGAAAAAGGAAAAAAAAATGATCCCCCAAATTTTAAATACAAAACAAGCCTAGAGGTCCCAGGCTGGCTCCTGTGTATATTTTGGGGTTTGGAAGATATTCTACAATTCCAATCCCAATAAAATACTCATGCGATTTTATTTCTGGTTGATACAATGTTAAAAGGCCATGTACAAATGTTACACATTTTTATTTTTGTTCTTTTCTTAGGAAAAAAAATACACAAAAGGCAAAACATCCTCAAATTGTCATTTTATACAGTGCAGAAGGAAATTTAAAATACGTGTCACAAACGCTGCACCCCGCAGCCAAAATACTAAAAAAAGGGGGGGGTAGTCCTTCATTTTATATATATATTTATATAAACATATGGAAATTTGTCTTTACACAGATCGGACTTTGTTTCAAATTTACAATGGATCTCTTAAAAAAAAAAAAAAGAAAAATTCTACGCGGCAAATATTGCCAACAGAGTTACACCATTAATACTGATAAACGGAGGAGCCTATGCGGTGTTTCGATTATTAGGGAAAGAGAGTAGAATAAATAACAGGATGAGCCTTGCTATAGTTTAAAAAGTGCCTTAACCTTCCTGTGTCACCGCGATCCTGAATCAGGGCGCTCGGCGGCCTTCCCTGTCCCCGCACAGACGCAGCACAGTAGAGATCGCAGACTCCGTAGAGATCAGGAGACAGTGGGGTCTTGTGAGAAAAAACACCCGCCAAGAAAGTCCAACTGCAATTCGAAACAAAACCAAAAGGACCGGAGAGAAGGCAGAGAAGGGGGGGAGGGGGACGGGCGACCTGGGTCCAGGCCCCCCGTTGTCCGGTTTCCTTTTGTGCTGTGAACAGTGGCTTTAGAAATGCAAGCCCGCCCCGCACCGAGGTTCACCTGCGGTCGCCAGAGGCCTTCTGAGATGGGGAGGGGGGTGTGATTTCTTGCCCCCCCCCAACACGGCTCTGAGAGGAGATTAGCGTGTTCTGAGACATTCTTTCCAAAAATAAAAAAACCAAAAAAAAAAAAAAAACCCTTAGAAGTAAAAAGATAAATACTCAACCAAAAAATAAAAGTATTTGATAAGGATGGTCTCACACGTTTGCCTGTCTTCGGACTGCCCCCCCCCCCCCCCCGCTTTTGCCGCTGGAGGGAAGGCGGGGAGAGGCCTCCTCTGGTTTCTTGGTCGCATGTTAGGGTTTCCCCCAGCACAGCACCTTCTCAGCCGGCTTCAACTGGATCAAAAATAGATACTTATTTACCAACAGCGGCAGTCAGACCAGGCCCCACAGCCACCATTTGGTAATTTTTTGAGGGAGTGGGTGGAGGCGGTGCTGACCGCGGAGCTGGGTCCTTGCCTTGGGGATTCCTTTCCAAATAATCCGGGTAGGTAGGGGTCAGACCCTTGTCTTCTGCCTACGGCTATACCTCAAGGAGAGAGCAGTTTCTTGGGACGGGTTCCGGGTCCCCGTGCCAGGCCGCCCGTGCCCGGCAGGCCCCGTGGGCTGCGGCCTCACATCACGCAGGGCTTGATGTCTTGGTAGGTGACCTGCTGGTGGTAGTAGGAGCCGCTGCCGGCCGAGTGCATGGACGAGGGCGCCATGGTGTTGAAGGAGAAGACGAACTCTTTGCGGTCACACATGCCGGGTGACTGGGAGTGATACCTCGGGATGCCTGCGGAGGAGGGGCAGGAGAGCGGGGAGCACTGCGTTAGGGTCGCGAGGGCCGGAGCAGCACCGCCTCCAGGCTTGGGCGCAGGGGCCCGCGGCCTCTCTACGCCCCACCGAGGTGCCAGCGTCCCGCAGCTCTGGCCTCGGGCGGGTCCAGGCGGCCCCAGGTCTCAGGCCGGGCTCTGATCCAGCCGAGGGCCCCAGGACCCCGGTGGCGACCACTGCTCCCTGGGTGCCCGCCGCGTGGACCTACTCGGCCTCGGTCACCGAGTCCCGAAGGGGAAGGGGCGAGGGGGCCGGCAGGGGCCAGCACACGGCAAGGACAGCCTGGCCTCCAGCTCCAGGGCCGGCCTCAGGCCTGTGCCTGGCACTGGGGTACCGGCCTTCCAACCCCAAAGGCCGCGAGGCCCAAGTGCGGCGGCGATGGGGGGGGGCTTCTCCAGGGGAAGAGCCCCTTGGAGAACAGCCCCCTCCCCCCAGCCCGGCGAGGAGAGGCAGCCCGGGTGTGAAGCAGGGCGATCCCCTCCGGCCCCTCGAAGGGGCGGCCCTCCACCCTCCGGGCGGCTGACAGCAGAGCCCTAACCGGCCCTGCTCAGCTGCTCCGAGCCCGTTCCAGAACCGGGGGCCCCGGGGAGGCCGGGGGCGCCGGGAGGAGGCTGCCGGACAGAAACTGCTGTGCTGCGTCCTCCTCAGAGGGGTGAGGAGGAGGGTGTCTGGGGGACAGAAAGCCCAGATCCTCAGAAACAAAGAGTCTGAGGGGCCTGCACCTCTAACTCTTGGCCTGGGCCTGGCCGCAGCCCCTCTCTGCCTCTGTCACCACAAAATGTCCCCCAGCTGGACAGTCCCACAGCCAGGTCTGGATCCCCGCGGAGCACCCAGCCCAGGCAGCCCGGGGCCTAACTCTGCCTTTCAGCCCAGGCAGCGGCGTTCGGTGGCGACGACAGAGCCGGCGGGCCGGGCCGCCTCCCGCTCCGGCTCAGGGACTTGCTGAGGCGTGTGAGGGGCCCGAGCACCGAGGCCATGTGAAATACCGGGGTCTGGGTCTTTCTGGCGAGGACGGGGCCTGCTGGGCCAGGCTGGGGGCTCCCAGCAGCTGGGAGTTGGAACCGAAAACAACAATTATCGTCGTGGCCCAAATCGCCCTCACCCCTGTGCTCATCCCCTCAAAGTGGGGGAGGTGTGGCCAAGACGGGGCCTGGGGAGACACGACGGTCTCCCCGAAGCGCCCGGGCTGGCGCCCCGGAGCGGCCGGCTGCTGGGCTGCGCTGACCGCGGGAACCCCCAGGGCCAGGACGGCTGGCTCGGGGCTCCCCACTCACCTTGCAGCTCGGCCGGGGCGTTGTGGCTGTTCTGGTGTAGATACGGCTGGTCCAGGGAGTGCGCGGAGAGGCTGCCGGGCAGGGGGTTGGCCGTGGGGTTGCAGGGGGACAGAGGCTGCTGCTTGATGTAGGAGGCGCCGCTGCTGAGGCCCGCGGAGGCCGAGGGCGGCCAGGCGGCCGTGGAGCCCGAGTAGACGGCGTGCGGCTCCATGACCCCCCCGGCGGCCGCGGGCAGCAGCGGGGAGGCGGGCACGGAGCCGTCGTGGTGCGGGTACTCGCCGGCCGCCGCGCCGCCACAGCTGCCCATGTACGAGTGGCCGCCGTTGGCGGGCAGGTGTGGCACAGAGTGGCCGGGCAACGCCATGCCGTCCACGTTGCCCGGCAAGTGGCCGTTCATCATGCCCAGGCCCCCCTCCAGCGCCAGGCTGTTGGGCGGGCACGAGAGGCCGCCGGCCGAGCTCTGGAAGCCGTAGGCGTCCGGGAGGTGGTTGAAGCCGCCCAGCCCGTTCATCATGCTGTACATGGGCTTGAGCGCCTGGCATTTCCTTCGGAAGCCGCGCGGCCGCCGCCGAAAGGAGCCCTCCTCGAACATGAACTCGCTGGCCGGGTCGATGGTCCAGTAGTGGCCCTTGCCGGGCCGCCCGAGGCCCTTGGGCAGCTTGATGAAGCACTCGTTGAGCGAGAGGTTGTGGCGCACCGAGTTCTTCCAGCCCTGGTAGGAGCCGCGGAAGAAGGGGAAGCGGCTCTGCAGGAACTGGTAGATCTCGCTGAGCGTCAGGCGCTTGGTGGGCGAGCTCTGGATGGCCATGACGATGAGCGCGATGTACGAGTAGGGCGGCTTCTCCGGGCGCCGGATGCCGGCGTTGGTCTTCTTGGCCTTGGACGGGCCGGACGCCGCGGGGTCCATGGCCGCGCCGCCTCCCCCGCCGCCGCCTCCCCCGCCGCCGCCGCCGCCGTGCGGTGGCTGCTGCTTCTCGGGCGCCGAAGACATGGGGTGGCTGCTGCTGCCGCCGCCGCCGCTGCCGCCGCTGCTCTGCGCCGCGGACGAGCCGGGAGGAGGAGGAGGAGGAGGAGGAGGAAGAGGAGGGGGGGGAGGAGGGCGAGGGGGAGGGGGCTGCGCGCGCGGGGCTGGCTGCACCTCTGCCGTCATCCGCGGCCACTGCTCCGAGCGGGCCTCGGCGCGCCCTCCCCCGGCCGCCCGCCCGGCCTCCCCGAGGAGCCGCTGGATCCGCCGGCGGTTGGCGCGGAGCCCCCCTCTCTCCGGCTCCCTCCCCCCTCACCTCTCTCTCCTCCCTCTTTCCCTCGCGCCCTCCCACTGGGGAAGGAGGCGAGCGGAGGCCGAGGGCAGCCTCTTTGCAGCAGCCGCGGCAGAGGCCGCGAGGAAGCCCCCCCACCCAGCCAGGTTTTTTTTTGGGGGGGGGGGAGAGAGGAGGCGCCACCTCCGGGGCCAGCGGCCGTGCGCCCCCGCGGGGACCCGCACTCGGCCCCCCGCCACCCGTGGCGCAGGGCCCCACGACTCCAGCCAGGCCGCCCTCACTGCATCTTCTCTCCGCGGGGTCCCGGGCGCCGGCCTGAGACCCTCCGGGAGCCCCCTCCCCTCCCTGCCCCCCTCCGGGCCCCGCGCTGGTGGGCGCTTAAAGGGCCCCCACCCTCGCCGCCCGGAGGCCGCCGGCGGGACCGCCCCGCCTCCACCAACCTGGCGAGCAAGTGTTAATGCGCCCTCGGCCCCGCGGCTCGGCCCCGCCGCGCGCAGGCCCTCCGCCTTCCCGGCCCCGCCGCGCGGGCCCCCGGGGCCGGATCGCAGACCGCGGCGGCGGCGGCGGAGGCGGCGGGCACCAGGCCGGGGCCCCCCGGCCGGCGGGCGTCCGTTCCCGGGAGGGCCCGCCTACCGGCTCTCCCCGCCCCGGGAAGGACTGCGCTGCGCCCGGGACTTTTCGGACTCGCCCAGAAGCGCGCGAGCAGCCGGGCAGCCGCCGGAGCCGAGCGCGGGCGGAAAACGAAAGCGCAGGGCGGGTCGCGGCCGCTTTGTCTCAGGCGCCCCTGGCCGGGCGGGAGCGAGCAGGAACCGCCGTGCCTGCGGGGACCCGAACCGAGCGGGCTTTCCGGAAAGAGCGGCTCTGCTCATTCACTCATCCGTGCACTCGTGCACACGCATGCATGCGTTGGTGCACGTGCAGACCCGATAAATTGTGAAGATTTCAGACGTGCAAACTCACACTCCTTCGTGAGTGCTGCCCACTCAGGCACACACCTGGCTCAGGCGTGTGCGCGCCCCAAGCAATGCGCGCGCTCCCGCACACACACTCGGCCCGCAGGAGTGTAGATTCGCACCTACTGTCACTCACGTGTACGCTAGCCTCGTTCCAGTCTGAACCCGCGAGCTTCCGAGGGGACCCCCTCCCCCCCACACACAGACACACACACTGAAAATCCACCTATTTGGCCCCGCAGCGCCGGTGTCCCCCGCTTTTCAAGAACGGGTTCCGATTTCTCGTAGATGGTAAAGGCCCTGGCAGGAAGTTTATACGGCTCAACGTAAACACGTTCTGGGGGATTCTTTAATAATAATAGAGAATTCCGCGTGCGCGGGGGGAGTTGGCCTAACGCCCCTGTGGGTCGGCCTGCCGCCGCCGCGGGGCCTCTGACACTGCGCGCCAGGCCGGGTTCCGGAAAGCAGTGCGCGCGGGCGGGGAGCCCAGGCCGCGGCGGCCCCCTCGCGCCAGGCGGTCCGCCGCACGGGGCTCGCACGCACGCCTTCTCCCTCGCAGGACCCGGGTGTGGGCTGGGCCGGGGAAGGGGGGTGGCGCACCCGGCGCCGAGCGCGGGGCCGCGCAGGAGCGGGGCGCAGCACGGCCGGCGCGGACCCAGGTGAGTGCTGTTCGCGCGCGGACGGCGGGGCGCCCAGCCCAGCCTCTCCGGCCGCGGCCCGGGTGCGGCGGAGGGAGGTGAGGGCCGGTTTTTCGCGGGTCGGCGCGAGGAGCCCGGATGCCTTGCCCCGGCGGGGGCCGCGGCGAAAGACAGATGCCGCGCTCGGCGTGCGCCCGCCCCGCGGCGCTTTTCAAAGCCCCGCCGTCGTCTCGGGTTCCTCTGGCTTCCTTGTCCCCCGCTGTCCCCCCTCCTCGCTCAGACGCCTTCAGCCTCGCGGTAGACGCCTCCTCGTCGCCTTCGGGGCGCCTGGCACGTCCGTGCGAGGAGCTGGGGGCCGGCAGGCGGAACGTGCCCCGCGGTCGCCGCCTTCCCCGGGCCGAGTGGCACTCGCTGGAGACGAGAGGGTCGCCCTCCGCGCGCCGCGTTTCCGCCAGGCTCCCTGGCCTAGGGGAAGGTGTGTGGGACGTGACCGCGTTGTGTGCGGCCGTGTCTCCGCGCAGGTGGGCGCGCGGGCAGACCCCCACCCCCCGCTACACTCAGCCCAGCCAGCACCCACAGGCCACGGGTGCCATGAGCAGCCTGCACGGCCTCCGAGGACATCGTGGCATCCAGCACCCGTCGCGCAGCCCAGGCGCCGCAACCCGCTGTGCCAGCGCACGGGCCTGCCCTTCGCGTTCAGTGCACACAGCCCTGCGCGCGCGTTGGCCCGGCTCAGCCACCGCCCACCCGCCGTCCGTTCTCGGTTCGCGTTAGGGATTCTCTCTCGCCCTCTCTCCATCACATTTTCCCCCTTTTCTTCTCTCTCTCTCTCTCTCTCTCTCTCTCTCTCTCTCTCGGCCAAACGGCAGCCGCGGGCTAGGAGGCCCTGGCGGTGCCGGGAGGGACGTTCGGAGAAGGGGTCGTTCCCGCCAGCTGCTGGGAGCACATCTGGCATTCAGTAGAGAGGCCAGCGGGGGAGGCCGCCCCACTCCCCAGCCAGCTAGGGGTGCAGCGCGAACCCAGCTGCTTCCAGAAAGCGGTAATAATGCCTCCGTTTTGCTGACGGGGCGCCTTCAAAGAGGGGGCTCTACAGAACTTGAAATCGGGGGACTCTTTTTCCAGCAGCCTCTTCCCTTCCTGGGAGCTCTCCAGTGGGGAGGGGGCGCAGATGCTGTCTGGCTGACCCCGGCCGTCTGACCATTTCCTCCCTCCTGCATATCAAGGTGTTTCACCGGCTCCCCTGGGCGGCTCTGGGGTGTTTTGGGGTAGGGAAGCTTATGCCTTCCTGGGGAAGAAGTGTGGAGTTGGGGCCCCACCTGGCCCCCACTTACCTAACCTCAGGCTCTGACAGCAAACCAGACTTTGCAGGGAAAGGGCAGCAGTTATCTTGCCCCGGGAGAGGGGCCAGTGTCAGGATGCTCAGGAATGTGGCAGTTGGAGGCTCTCCCCAGCCCCTAATCTCCACCCAGGAGGGAGGCAAAGGTGGGGGTGTGAGAGGAAGGGCAGGGGAAATGAGCTCCCAGCATTGTAATTTGGGGGGGACCCCCCCTCAATTCTAGGGAAAACCACATCCCATAGCAAGGAAGGCTTTTCTGTATGCCTGGAGACGAGGCTCCCAACTCGGAGTTGTCGGAGGAGAAGCCTCGCTCGAGCTTGCATTCTGGGGTGGGGAAACTGAGGCCCACTAAGGACCTGGCCCAGAGCAGCCAGCACCGCCACAGGAACACCTCTCTATCTCTTCTCTCTGCCCCCCACGACAGACCATCATGGCACTTGACCCTCCCTCAGTCTCAGTGCAGGCCGAGAGTGGAGAGAATGAGTTTAGAAACGCATCCCAGGCGCGCGGGCACAGAGACCTGTTGGGAAACTGGTGATGATAAGAGAGTAGCAGCTGTCACAGACACAACGATGATAACGGGACTTCTCGACCGCAGCCCATGCCAGGTGCTCGTGTCCTTAACCTTTCTATGGGCTGTGAATCCCTTTGACGAACTATTGAAAACTGTATCCTATCCCCCGCCCGCCTCGGAAAGGCACACCATCGTTCCAGTGACATTCGTAGAATGGCTGCAGGATCTCACCGAACACCGGGAGCCTGCCCATGAACCCAGGACCTCCCACCCAGGAGCCAGGACCCAGCTTAAATGCCTCGGAGATATCTGTTTAATCTTCACAGAAGCCCCTACCAGGTCCCTATTATCCCTCTCTGTAGAGAGGCTTCCCCCGCCCCCCACCGGGTTATCCCAAGTCCTGGCTCCTCCGCAGAGCCCAGATGCAAATCCAGGCCTGACCACACAACCGGGAATGGGAATTAAGCCGCAGGCCCCAGGGTCTGCAGCGGAAGAGGCGGAGAGACCCTCTGTCGGAACACCGGGGATGGTCAGGGGCCAGATTCCAATCCAGCAGTCACCATGTGGGGATGTTGCCTAAGCTATTTGCGCCTTAGTTTCTTTTGGGGGGAGATCGTTGTTGGTTGGTCGGTTGGTTTTCTAACGGCTTTATTGACGGCTTGATTGTGATAGAACTGACACATAACATTGTGTAAATTTAAAGTGTTACAGTGTGTTGATTTGTTACATTTGTGTGTTGCAAAACGATCACTTGATGGTGTTAGTTGCGCTTCTATTCCGTCACATAGTTACCACTTCTCCTGTGTGGTGACAGCATTTAAGATATACTTTCTTAGCAACTACGTTGCAGTATTATTTTCAAATACGATACAATACTAGTAGCTATTATCACCATGCTGTGTGCCTTAGTTTTTTCATCTAAAAAGGGGGACAAATAACGGTTCCTGTTTCTCAGGGCTGCGGTGTGCACTGGGCAGTCATAGACATAGGCTGTCATAGTGAGAGACACAGAAGCCCCCAGGCCCACCTCACCGGCCGGGGGAGAAGATACAGACAGGGGTGAGGGCAGCATTTTGCTCTTAGCTTAAAGATCCATAAAGACACCCCTCGTTCATCCCAAATCAGATCTGCACCCCAGCTTTGGCCTCAGGAATCCTCAATGGGGGGGGTGTAAAAACAGACACGCCTGTCCCGTCTCCCACTCCCCAAGCCCAAGGTATTTTTACTGGCTAATTGCTTAAGTGAAGCCGCCCGCCCTGGTGGAGAGTGCGCCGTAACCCGAGCAGGGAACCAGATCCAGCTCGTTGAGCCGGGCCGGCCAAGCGGGAGGGGCGGGGGCGAAG